TTTGTTGTTGTTATTTGTTCTTTAAAAAAAATTTTTTTAAGTCCTATAATTGTAGGCACTCTGGCTAACTCTTGTCAGTTGAACCCAAAGGAAACATATGTACAAATCATGCCTTAAGAATCAGACCTCTTTGTAAAATAGACACTTGAGGAGGATAGAAAGGAATATCGGGAAACATGATTATAGAAAGCTTAAAAACTTGTCTTCGGCTTGTAACTTATTGGAATACCTAAAATGGGTTCTAGAACTTGCCCAGTGAAATAGAGTTCTTGTGGAGTTTTTGTAGTGTATAGGACATTAGGTGGAACCCTGAGCCCCATCCAGAAACCTTCTAGGTAGGACATTCCAGAAAGGACAAGCAGACCAGCCTGGAGCAGCCAGAAGAACAAAAGATACTTCTTGAAAGAAAGACCAGCAGGAAAAATCAAAAAACAAAAATGGCAGTCTGACTGGCTAGTACAAGAACAAGTAAGTTGTTTGCCAGGAAGCCATCAAGGCAATCAAGTCCCTTCAGAACAAAACCCCCTCCAAGACTGAAACTCAAAGGGAATATAAGAGCAGGCATGTAAGCTTGCTGGCAACCACAGTGGTCTACTGGTGAGTGGAAGTAGGGGAAAGGCAGCAAAGAAGATATGGGCTGAATTTGACCACGTTCCATAGACTGCTGTCGACCTGGAAACTGCTGAGCCCATGGACAAGGAGGGCTAGAATTGAGAGTGAAACATCCAGTTGATATGAGTGAGGGGAGATACACAAGAACACCCAAACTTGCAGATAGTACCCACCATTTGACCTAGCTTTGATGGCTTGATCATCAGAACTCGACTTTGTTGTTGTTATGTGCCGTGGATTCGGTTCTGACTCATAGCGACCACTGCATAGGGTTTCCTAGGCTGTAAATCTTTACGGGAGCAGAAAGACTCATCTTTCTCCCACAGAACAGCTGGTAGTTTCAAACTTCCGACTGTGAGATTAGCAGCCCTATTCATAACCACTATACTACCAGAGCTCCTTTGACTAGAGGAAGATAAAAAATTTGGGTACTGGAGACAAGTGTAAATTACTACAACTTGAGGAACTTGACCTATTTTTACGGATGTAGTAGATAAAAATACCAACTGAGAGGGAAGGAATCTTCACATCAAGGATCAATCCTATCCCCTTTGTATACAGGACTGATATGGATGGGCAACTTACACACTAGCTACCTAAAATGGTAAAATTAATAACCTGCGATATGCAGATGATACAACCTTGCTTGCTGAAAGTGAAGAGGACTTAAAATACTTACTTATGAAGATCAAAGAACACAGCCTTCGGTATGGATTGCATCTCAATGTAAAGAAAACAAAAACCCTAACCACTGGACCAGTAAACAACATTCTTATCAACGGAGAAAAGATTAAAGTTGTCAAGGACTTCGTTCTTCTTGGATCAACTATCAACACTCACAGAAGCAGCAGTCAAGAAATGAAACGACGTATTGCAGTAGGCAAATCTGCTGCACAAGACCTTTTTAAAGTGTTGAAGAGCAAAGATGTCAGCTTGTGGACTAAGGTTCACCTGACCCAAGCCATGGTTATTTACAATAACCTTATATGCATGTGAAAGACTGTAGAATAATTGATGCTTTTGAGTTATGGTGTTGGAGGAGAATATTGAAACTGACATGGGCTGCCCAATGAACCAACAGATCTGTGTTGGAAGAAGTGTAGCCAGAGTGCTCCTTGGAAGCCAAGATGGCCAAATTAGTCTGTCATACTTTGGACATATTGTCAGGAGGGACCAGTTGCTGGAGAAGGATATGTTTGGTAAGGTTGAGGGCCAGAGAAAAATAGGAAGACCCCCAACGAGATGGACTGGCCAAGTGGCAGCATTAATGGACTCAAGCGTGGCAACAGTAGTGAGACTGGACCAGGATCGGGCAGTGTTTCATTCTGTTGTGCATAAAGTAGCTATGAGTCGGTACCAACTCAATGGCACCTAACAACAACAACAACAACCTAAAATGGGGAGGGGGGGAGATGACAATAAAAGCACAAAGTGACTGGCTTATAAGTTTTCAAGAGTGAGTTTAGTTTCAGACTGTGCGGAGGGGAAGGTAGAACCCCCATGGAGTAGGTTTCATCTTGTCTAGACAGGTCTGGTAAAAGGAGATGGGGATAAGATTCTTATGATTCAAAAGTGAGTAATTGTTGAAAAAAAAAAAAGTGAGTAATTGTTATCATGACTAATTACGATAGTCACAACTGTAAAGGTACAAGTTTTGTAACAAAAAGAGGGTTGTACTTAATCTTACAGTTCAGAAACAGAGGACTCTAGGACCGTCAAGGGAGAAGAGCACGAGTGGAATGTGGGACCCTGTCCAGTGAAGCAGCAACACCAGAGATGGAGGCAGAGATGAGGACATGGAGAAACAGAGCAGCTGACGACTCTAGACTCACGGAAAGAGAAAGGCTGTGTGCTAGCAGACAAGAGGCAGACTTGCAGAATGTGCCCTTTAGTTGTTTAAATGATTATATATTCCTGAGTGTTTTTATGTACATTCAAAAGACAAAACAGAGGGAATAGAAGCAAATACTGTTGAAGACGATGCATGTAGGGGATTTTAATCATTGCAACGAAACAAAATACAATCGGATGAGTGTAAAACCGATGTTCTCCCATGTAAAATCACTCAATTCACAATGTTGTTGTTGTTGTCAGGTGCCATCAAGTCGGAACCCCATGCATAGCAGAACGAAACAATGTCCGATCCTGGGCCAACCTCACCACCGCTGCCACACTTGAGTCCATCAATGATGCCACCTGGCCAATCCATCTC